CCTGCTGAAACTCAGCTTGGTGGGGAAGCAGCGCTTTTTGTTTTTTCACTGGGGGGTCTAAACCAAGATTGGAAAAATGCCACAAAAAAACCATCTGCGAGCTGCAGCCAGTTTCCTGTTACATGGAAAGGACCGTTAACTTTGAAGGAAATTGAAATGCTCTATACTATCGATTTTGAAAGTGGAAAAATGCACAAACTCTTCACCTGTGTAATTTTCTATCCAGTTTTATTTAATTAAATATGAAGATTTCCATGAAAACAAAGGAGGAAAACATGGACTTATTGTTATTGATAAGTCATTATCTAATGATTGCATCGCAATGTGTCTCACCTTTTTTTTTTTCTTCTGTGTCTCCAGGAAACTTTATGTATTTTATTGGCTATTCAAAATGGCTGTTGTTGTGCAGTCGCCTGGTGGCAGGTAACAGTTTCCATCTTCTCTTCATACACACACAGACATGTGTGTATCTGTGAAGTGAAACTGCACATCTCTCCCCTTAGGTGTCGGTGCAGGAGCGGGATCCTCCATCTTTGGTTTCTTGACCCAAAGAACGCAGCCGGAGGAACGAGCCAGTATCTTTGCAGCAATCATGGCCTGTCGACAAGTAGGCCTCCTTGTTGGTCAGCCCCCCTCTTTTTTTATATCTTATCACAGGGAGGGAGTTATCATTTCACCTCCCTCCACCTCCATCTGCTCTGGTGATATATAGGAGTGTGCGATGTCTCCTCTGATTTGCAGCAGTGCCTCTGACGCCCTTGGTTTTTTTTTTTTCTATTCTTTTAAATGAACTTCGTTCTGTCTCTCCAGGGCCGGTGTTCAACCTGTTCCTGAGGCTGTGTGATTTCAAACTGGGGCCCTTTGTTGTGAACAAGTATACATCTCCTGGGGTAACTGCATTCAGATCCAATCATTAAAGCGCTACAAAAAGCCTCATGAATTAAAAAGCAACCTTTAGATATAGGTCTGTCTGCACTGATCTATTCCCACGCCGGCGGTCTCTGACTGAAACACCTGTACAAGTGCAGTTCAAATAGGATAACAAAGCTCTTTTACATCGGCTCCCATTTCTCACAGTATTTGACAGGGCATGTCTCTTGTGATTCCACCCAATCTTTACGGAAGAGGTAGATCTCCTGAAAACTGTACAAATTTGATTTTCTGTCTGGAAATCTGACTTTTGATACTGGCCGAGGCAGCAGAAAGGATGGAAAAGATACAAGGACCGATGTTAGTACTGTAGGTCAGGGCTTATCATGACAGCAGTACATAGTACTGACGTAAAAAAGGCACGCTTACCAAAATTTGATGTATCAATCACCAATCCTCAGACAGGTTCTGAACCTGATTTACATTTTTACTACGGATGTCCGACATTAACTTTTCGCTGATATTGTCCAAACACTTAATTTCCGGGTTCCGATGTCAACCGATACCGATATAGGCCTACTAATATTTATTTATTTATCTGTACTTTATCTGTACCTCTGTATGAGTCAGAGATGAATAAAACGAGCTGCTACGCTGCCATCTAGTGGCTTTCGCTTTCTCATACAGCCTTTTATCCCCAAAACTATTTTTAGGGCACACATTATTTGGCAATTGCGTTCTCGGGTTTTCATTATAGGAGGAAAAACCGATAATGATTCTTACAAATATTACAGGACCTAATTTTTTACCAACACTCATTTTTTCTTGCCTGTCACGAATTTGTGTAGCTTTGGACAAAGTTTCAATAGTTTTCGAGGCCCAGTTGGGCCCTAAAATGTAAACATCCAACGTCCTTGGAGTTTCAAACCCTTCATTTCTCCTCTCTTTCCTCCCCACTGTTACAGATATTCATGTGCCTGTTGTGGCTGCTGATCCAGTGTGTTGTTGTCTTCATGTACTGGGACGTACCACCCCTCAGCTCGGAGGACGGAGCGGTGACACTGGAGATGAAGCGAGGGGGGAATGACGACGACGGCGGCGGCGACGACGAGGAGGAAGTGCCGCTGATGCCATCAGGAGGCGAGGAGTCGGCCCCCGCCTACAGGGCGCTCGGCTCCGAGCAGCTGGAGATCGACGCCTCGTCTGAGACTCATTGCGAACGCTGCGTCACGTCGACTTCAAACCCCTTCAGGAACTTCAGCCTGAGCAGAGGTGAGAGCAGCTGTGACGCTTTGACCTGAACTGTCCCAACTTTCTTTCTCAGGCTGCGGTGAAGTGTCACCGCAAAGGCATATGTTTTCACTCTGCTCTATCGATTTCCCTCCCGAACACACACGCAGCGCGAGGACGGGCGGAAGAAGCTGATCAATAGTGGCACCGCATGTAAATCTACTATATCACTAATCCAGCCTGACACCTGACATTATGTGTATGCACACGTTGGCTACATGCTGACATAAATTAGACACATTCACACAAGTCCAATCAATAGAGCAGGCTGTGATTGTACGCCACATAATACCTCAGAGGGTTCTGGAGTATGGAACATGTCCAATGTGTGTGTGTGTGTGTGTGTAAAGCCGTCATATTGATTCTTTTTCTTTTTGAAGACATGGCGAAGGGATGGGCAGCAGCCTTCCTGCTGTATTGACCATCCTGTTGTGCTTGACTTAAGGATGAAATGAAGAAAGAATTGGAAATGTGGCCAACATTCCTCCTATCGATTCCGGTTTGTTTAAAAAGAAGTTCTTCAACAGCAAAAAGTCTGACCAGAAGCGGGAGGATGTCCGCCGCCGCTGTGCCGGCGCCTGTCAGGTGTTACAGTGCGCCTGACATCCTTTGCTCTGAATTATTGATCCGACCTTACACTCAGAGATCAGCGAGGAGCCGATGAGGGTTGGAAAATATGTTTTCAACTTTTAGTTTTTCACTTGTTATCGCGCTGTAGCTAGAATGTAGCTGCACTGTATCAGGGCGAGTAGAAACATTTATTAGTCTGGGATAAAAAAAAAGAATAATAATAATGTACAAGAATATAGTCTTTGCGAATATTAGCTCCATTATAAAAGAGAACTAGAAGTTCACAAGAATAAAAAACAATTGTAACGTTACGACTTCATCATCTCATAAATTAACATCGAGCAATGATCTAATATGCCAGCCAATTTCCTGGCATGTTATAGCTAACCTTTTGGATGATAGCTAGCAATTTTGGATAACCTTTCACTTAGCTGTAAACTTTAAAGAATTGGCTCTTATATAAGTTTTTTTTCCCCTAAAAAAATAAAAAATAAAAAAAGTATTTTTCTTGAGTAAAAAATTATGTTCAAAATTAATGAAGTTTTAATTATTATTTTTATTATTATTTAGCTATTTTTTTGGCTAACCTTTTCTTTGCTCACTATATAACGTTTGGCTAGCACAGACTTGTTTCACCCTGAACTTGTAAAAAAAATGTAACTAAATATTATTTTGATGGCTGTTTGGTTAGTAACCAAATGTAACCAAATATCATTTTGATGGCTATCTTATCTAAAGTATTTTTGACCACTTGGCAAAAGCTACATTGACTTAGTCATAGTGAAAACAGGATTTGTTATGGTATTATCAAAAGCCCGGTCTAGAAAATGAGAATGGCGTATAAATGAATTCCAAGGATATTTTTGCCCTCAGACTTGCTGATTTCTGATCCTGTTATACCGGGAATCCATGAAAATGAAATTATGTAAATAAATGTACATACGCAACAAGGACATTGGTCAGAGCTCACACACTGAACTGTGACTGCTATAGTCATCTGGCAAATCCAGTCACATTCACCGGCGGCTTCACTTATCTCAAGGACAAGGTTCAATACGATCCAAACAGCCTGGATTTATTACAGCCAGCCTCGGTGTAGATAGTCCAAGTTTTCTTTTCACTTTAAACTTTCTTATCTTGACATGCGCTCCCAACTGAAATCTTCAATTGAAAGGTCCCGCTTCAACTTGTTTTATTATTTGCTCTTTGGTTTCCTCTCTCTCTTTTTTTCTTTCTTTTTGAGTCTATCTCTCGGTCTCTCGCCCCGCAGAGTTCTTGAGAGAGGAGGTGGTTGTTCTTCTCACGGCTCAGTTCATCACGCTCTTCAATCAGACAGCGCTGGAGGTGAGAGCAGTTACCGTGGAGTTCCATCAGCCCCAGTTTCTAAACATTTCACATGGTGTCACACTATTTCACTCGGGGTTACATCCTCACTGCATCAAAACAGAGCTTCACCTGGAAAGACCTGTGCTGCCGCCAACGTTGACAATAACAATAACCAAGTGTCACTCAGGGTTCCTCTGTGTGTGACATTAGTGTAGGTTTTATGGACAGAGATTGAATGGGCTGCACTAGCATGAGATGTGATGTGTTGGTTAGCGCCGACAGCCTTTATTAGCGCTTGAGTCTGAACAGCGTAAACAGTCAAAGAAACAAACAAAGTGACAGGCGTCTGCCTTATTGATGAAGATGTAGTCTCAGTGCCAGGTGAACTACTATAACTTGATGTTGTTCTATTGTCAATCATTTATTTGTCTTCTTCTTTTCTTCAACACCAATGTTTTGGACATTGCTATTATTATTATTTTTTTTGGCAGATTATTAATTATTTTAGTGTATTTCTGCCACTTAGGGTGATGGATGCTGGAGCCTATGTCCTAGCAGACGCTGTCGAGGGTGGCGTACCGTCACGACAGTTCATCAGCCTATCATTTAATCTGAATAGTTTGCCTAAAATTCAACCTGAGTAACAGGGAAGACATGCAGAGAGAACTGGTTGCAAATAAAATACAGAAAAGTCAGAGACAATCTAGATTTAACCACCCTGCATATGTGCCAGAGACTATCTAGATTTAACCACCCTGCATATGTGGTTGTTGCTAGGTAAATGTGCCATGACATATTTAAAAAAAAAGAATTATATTATTTTCACAATATATATATTATATATAATTTTTTTGTTTAGTGTTTTCATGTTGATATGTTGGTTTTTAAAATTTTTTTTATATCAACTCTCAGTTCATGCTCATGTCAGACGACATAAGCTACACTGGGAAAAGTTGAAACCCGTCCAAACCCCCTCTAGCTGGTGATTTAATTACATTTGCAGTTAAACAAAGGTACAGTGTGACCCACTCGGTGGTCTTCGGCACCACAGAGGGAGGGGTTAGCCTTGGGGGGCATTCCTAGCTAATTAAATCTCGTGCTCGCTGGAGACAAACTAAGACATCTCTGTGTTACAGGGATGGGAAAGACAAAAATAGATTTGTACATGTGAAGGCATTTTAATGTAACACATCACCATCTCGAACTTTAACCTTTAATGTTTAAGCCCTGGTTGGTTTTAATTTTGTAAACTATATGTACATTTCAACTAATGCTAATGCCATTCTTGATCTGAACGTGTTTTTTTTCCGACTCTCCTCAGACCATGGTGACTCCGTTGTGAACATGTTTTTTTTCCCCGACTCTCCTCAGACCATGGTGACTCCAATGACGCAGCGCTACTTCGGCTTCGCTGAGCTGGGAAACAGCCTGATGTACGGTCTGTGTGGGGTGGAGGTCATCCTGGGCTTCTTCTTCGTGCGGTGGCTGAGCAGTAAGGTAGCAGACCGTGTGGTGCTCATGGTGGGCCTGGTCATTTGCTGCGCCGCCTGCGTCTGGTCCCTCATCTTCCTCTGCGACCCCAGAGGTAGTAGAGTGTAGGAGTGTGTGGGGTTCTGTGCCAGATGCTCCTTAGTGCGACTGTTGTGTGGATGTGGAGTTACGGACCGGTTGCTCTGTCAGTGACATCACTTGCATTCTGGCAGGACAGACGGAAAACACGCGCAGGGAAAAGTGGATTGTGTACGCGCTCGCATTCATCTGCTTCTACTGTAGCTCGTCACGTTTATCACCGTGATTACAAATAACAGGTGCTGCAGCCGAGGAGGAGCAGGCTCCACGTAACAGGATTAGAGTAATCCCATTACACCAAAGTGCTATTTGTTAAAGCAGATCCTGCTTTTCGTTTTTTTTTTTCCCCCCATGTCTTACTCTCGAAACAAAGACAGAAGCTCTCAGGGAGACGTCTTAAGATAATCAGACCCACAGGGGCAGTTGGTGTTGGTGCAGAGCCAGACGTTGCTCATACAGGTATACTAAGTGGGTTACAGGAGTTGATTATACCATTAATATCAGTTTGGTCCGGAGTTAATACATTTCCTCTGACGTTTTTACTGTGAGACGCTGTCACTGTTAAATAATACCTCTTAGTAAACCGCACCGTTTTCTACTACATCAGCGGTGTCAAATTCATTTTGGTCCAGTGACCACATACAGTCTGATTAGTTAAGTGGGCTGCACCGATACAGTCATGACATAATTACCTATAGATAAAAATAAGTTGATGTTTTTTTTTTCCTCTTTGTTTTCGTGCCCAAATAGTCCTAATATTTTCAGTCTAAAGAGAGAAGAGTACAAATATATAAGAACAAAATTGTATTGGACCAAAACATGAGGTGCATTTTTTTCACTTTCAACATTGGAGATATAGTAATAGTGAGGTTTTTTGTGTGTGTGTGTGTGAGGATTACGCTCTTTCTTATTCGAGTGGGCACGAAATCACACCAACATGTGCATGATGCAAAGCAGCGAAGAACAAAAATGTACTGGCTGCCAGATTGGCTGTGGTTTCATTTACAGATAGAGCTATCTGTGCTAATGCCAAGGCATTTCCTGGAAACAACTTCAAAACTGCACCAGAGCAGGAGCTGGATCAAGGAGATTATGATCCGTCAGTCACTGAAATATCATAACTGCCCTATACCATCAGAGGAAACCGATTGAAGCCCTGTTTTTTTTTTTATTCTTAAGAGGCAGCTTGATTGGAATGCGGTAAAACTTTGGTTGCTTTCATCACTGCCAGGTGGTTATGAATGGGAGCTGACAGCCTTTGTCGTCGGAGTGTTCCTGCAGCTGCTGGGTCTCCCCTTCGTGGCGGTGTCTCAGGTGTCTCTCTTCTCCAAAGTCACGGCAGAGAAAACACAAGGTTGGTTTATAAAACAAGTGATCGCTGCTTAGTTTGGAGAGACTAACTTTGTCCGTTCTTTTGTGACTTGTCGCCCGCAGGGTTCAGCCAGGGCGTCAGACGCTCGGTCGGAGGCCTAGCCACCATCTTGGGTCCGCTGTGGGCCGGAGGACTGACCAACCATTTGTACATCATGCTGGGGATGATGCTGGCTCTTCTGATGATGATCACGGTGAGCTAACGAGAATTAGGACACGGAAGACGGAATTCTGAACTAAGTTTTCTGTGCTAACCGGCGTCAAACAAGTTGAGCAAATTCTGAACTAAGTTTTCTGTGCTAACAGCAACAATGTGGGTCGGGTTTCAGGAGCGATGGAATTTTGATTTCATTTACAGTATTTCTAAGCTAGCTTGAAGATATGTTCTGACTGATTTTTAATTCAATATGTAGCGATCTGTTTACTTTTGGTACTTTTTAAAAAACATATTTAAATACTTCAAATGAAGTATTCCTACATTGAAGTATAATTTAGCTTTTTCTGACTATCCTTATCTCTCACGGTAAAAAATACACATCTGTACACTTATACAAGCAGTGATTTAGATTGGATAGATCATGGTGTGTCGAACATATGGCCCACGGACCAAACCTGGTCCACTAGAGGGCTCAATCCGGCCCGCTTGATGAATTCACTTCACGTTTGTTATATTTAGTCAAAATATATTTTATTAAATATGAATTATTTCTAATAGATTTGACTTATTTCTATGAAAACGGAGGACGAAAACAACAGCTCAGTGTTACTGGTCCGGCCCACTTGACATCTAATTGGGCCGTATGTGGGCCCCCGAACCAAAATGAGTTTGACACCCCCGGGATAGAGACTGTATTAGATAGGTAGAGGTGAGGTATTTGACATTTTCAGAGCGTGGCTCTCATGATAACCACTTTGCCTAGGGTCGGGATTTTAACCTGCGTGTCAGTGCAATTGCAAACGTGGACCTAAACCTCTATTTATCCTGACGGCCGTGTCCCTTTCTTTTTTTTTTTTAGTTTTATACAGGAACCTCCTCCGCTCGCACACGACCGTCTCTTCCTGCTTACCTAGACTAAATGACCGGAGCCAGCGGTGGTTTTGTATTTACTGCACAGACACGAGAGCGATGTCAAACATCGAGTTCTCAGCGAGACAACAGATTAACGTGTTTTACTGCTTTACGTGAGGCTGCCAACCGTCAGTGTGAGTCCTGTTTCCCCCGGTACGTACAACAACAGACGAACGCTGTATCACAGTCTGCATCGTTGTTGTTGATTTACATTTTTATTAATTAATTAAATAAGCCACATCAGTAGTATAGTTGTTCTTGAAGGGCCGGTTGTAAATGGAAGACTGTATAGATCAAGGGTTCCCAACCCCTGGTCCGCAGCCCAGTACCAGTCCATAGGTCATTTGGTATCGGTCCGCAGTGGGACACAGTGAAAAAAAATGTACTTCATTTTTACTAATTTACTAAATCCAGTCATATCCTTTTGCTTTCTTTATTTAAAGATAATCCGGCAATATTTTAAAATAATAGGTCAAACAGAACGAAGAGTCTTTTCCGGAGCCAATAGAGATGTGTTTTTTTTAAATGGAGGTTCAAACTGCTGAGCCTTGCTCTAATTTGAACACTGTGAAAGGTCTTTTCAAACGCTGGCTTTTCTCCCCCCGCCCCTCATAAACACACTGACACCAGAACTGTGCTGAAGTCTCCACAGCGTGTGATTCACTGCCCTCCGTTCACTGGAGGTATATATATATATATATATATATATATATTTATATATATATATATATATAT